TCTTTCGTAAGTGCTGTTTGACTGATTTGACACCAGCCTCCCAGAGTCCTCCAAAGTGTGGTGTGTATGGTGGTGTAAAATGCCATTGCGTGCCATCACTTGCCAATTGATCTGCTATGTGTCCAGGCATTTCCAGTCCTGCCTCTCTCCACATTTTAACTAATTCCTTATTGGCTGCAACAAAGTTCGTTCCGTTATCGCTCCAGATTTCATTACATCTTCCTCTTCTGGCAACAAAACGTTTGAATGCTGCTATAAATGCATCAGATGTTAAATCGCTCACCATCTCTAAATGTATCGCCTTTACAGCCATGCAAATAAATATGCAAATGTAAGCCTTCCTGCTTTTAGCACCTCTTCCTTTAGAATTTAGCAGGTAAACTGGACCAGCAAAGTCTACTCCACTTCGAGAGAATGGACGCGTTGGGGTCACACGAGGCTCAGGTAAATCACCCATCACTTGTTGTCTGAAAGTAGCTCGTTGCCGTGCACAAGTAAGACATCTTTGTATGTACCTTTTCACCAAACTCTTGCAGCCAATGATCCAGTATTTACTCATGAGGTATGCAATCATAAGTTTAATTCCACCATGCATTGTTTTCTGGTGTGCGTCAGCAAGAACCAGTGTTACGAAGGTGTTTCTCTTACCTATGATTATAGGGTGTTTTATGTCTTCATCGACGTGTGCATTTCTTAATCTGCCGCCCACCCTGAGGATATTTCGTTCATCAATGTATGGGCTTAGCGTCTTCAATATGCTCGTGGCCTTCACAGGCTTGTGGTCTTTTAATCTTCTTATCTCGTCTGAAAATTCTTCTTGTTGTACTTTATTTATGTCTTCGTCCCAACCAACTCCTTCTAGCCACAATCTTTGCACAAGTATCTTTGCTCTAACAATTACTGGTGCTATCCATCCAAGTGGATCAAAGAGTCTTTGTAAATCTGACAGTATGAGTCTTTTTGTAATATTGGTTGATATAGGTTCCAGTTGCAGTTGGTAACAAAAATTATCTTCTCCAAGATTCCATGTTAGGCCAAGGGCTTTAATGGTGCCATCTAGTTTCAAATTAAGACTAGCCTTTGTGGTGATTCGGTCTGGTTCTATCGATTTTAAAAACTCAGGATCATTTGAGGCCCATTTCTGAAGTTCAAATCCACCTTGTTTAAGAATTATCATGATTTCTTTGCTGATACGAGTTGCTTTTTCTGTTGTGTCACAGCCTGAAGTCAAGTCATCGACGTAAAAGTCTTCACGAATAATTCTAGCAGCTTCAGAATATTCTTCACCCTCATCATCTGCGAGTTTCATCAAAGTTTTGACAGCTAGGTAAGGTGCACATGCTGTACCAAATGTGACAGTTTTCAATCTGTAATCTTTAACATCCGCTAGCTGGTCACCAGCTCTGCCTGTGGTGTTACGACGCCAGAGTATTCTGTGGTAGTCTGTATCCTTCTTCTCCAAGAGAATCATTCTGTACATTTTCATTATGTCACTTGCAAAGCATACCCTATGCATGCGCCATCTCATTATTATGCTTCGCATATCTTCTTGGAGTACCGGTCCAGTCATGAGCTCATCATTCAAAGATATGCCATTATTAGCTTTGCACGAAGCGTCAAATACAACTCTGATTTTAGTTGTCTCCTTATCTCTTCGAATAACGCCATGATGTGGTAAATAAACAGAACGATTGTTTATTTCATCTTTCGGAACTTCTTCCATATGTCCCATTGCTAAGTATTCTTCTAATACCTTGTCGTACTCTTCTTTTAAATCCGGTGTTTTATATAGTCTTTTTTCTTGCTGAATCAAGCGCTTCATTGTAATTCAATTTCTCTCGTATTTCCGTCCGGTGTAACAATGTCATTGGAACGAAATGGAAGTCCCACAATGTATCTTCCCTCGCTGTTTCTTTTATAATTCTCTTCATAGAATTTTTCACATCGTTTTTCTTCTTTGGTGTGCTTTCTTTTTGAATCTTGATCTATTTCCCAAATTGCCTTTAAGAAATCTTCTGCTATGATCTGATGATGCATAACCAGTACTGACTCTGCTTGTTGTGGTCTATCATCTATATTTCCGAATAAAATCCAGCCAAGGTTTGTTTTATGAGCGCACGGAGACCCTGGTGGACCCTTGATTAATTCATTTTCCACTATACGTGCGTATACGTCAACACCCAAGAGCAGGTCAATAGAACCTGGTTTGTAGTAGTTTGGGTCAGCTAGTTCTAACCCATCTAAATGAGGCCAATTGCCCTTTTTGATTATATGCGAAGGTATTTTAGTTGTAAGTTGTTTTGACATAACATAAGTTCTGACTTCTAGGTTGTAAGCTGCGCATCTCGACTGTACGTTGATTTGAACGACTTGTTTTAAATCTTCTCTAGTTGATCCAACACCAATGACCGCACCCCTAATTGGATATCTCCTAGCCTTGAGTAGTTGTGCAGCACGTTCACTTATGAAGCTAGCTTGGGAGCCTTGGTCAATTAATGCTCGCAGCGTGGTCATGTAATTGTCTTCACTTCTTACTATTACAATTGCTGTTGCAAGTAATGCTGTACTTTCTTTGCTAGAACTGTGTGCAACCACTGTAATGCTTTCTTTCTCTCCTTCATTCTTCTCCACGTTTGTATGTAAAGCCACTTCAGGTTGTTTTGTAAGTACTTTATCAGAATTGCCTGTTGTGCTTTCACTTACGTTGCTTTCCTTATTTTCGTGAAGAAGGGAATGGTTGGTGGCGCCTTTTGCATAACCGACAACATGTTGGAATACGACATTGCCTTACAGAGTGTCCAGGTGAAAGGCAATTGAAGCACAAGTTATTAGTTTTAATGAATTCACTTCGTTGTAGTGGTGAATGTTTTCCGAACACTTTACAATGGCTAAGTGTATGATTTTCATTGCACATTTGACATTTTTTGCATGTTTCTACGTTGGTTGTAATGTGATACGACTTCTCTCGTTGGATGACATTATTATTCAATCTTTGTTTCGTCGGTTCTGTGAGCTCCAACGTGCGAAAACGGCTTTCTAAAAATTTACGAAAAATATCGAGTGATGGAAGACTATCAGGATCTTGGCAATTGTTGCTAACGTGTTCTTCCCAGTCTTTATGCGTCTCAGAGTCTAGTTTCTGCACAGTCACAAATATTATCATAGGATCCCAGTTTTCAATATTTACCTTCATGTTTTTAAGCTGATGCAAACATTCGAACGTAGTATCTAGCAAACTCTTAATATGATTTGAAGAATTTACGGTCATCTTCTTTTGTGAAAAAAGTTTTTTCATGACGGCGTTGATAGTTATTCGTTTATTACTATATCGTCTTTTTAATATGTCCCATGCTTGTTCATAGTTCGAATCTGTTACCTGTACATGTTTTAATATAGACGCAGCTTCACCAGTAAGACTAGTTTTTAAATAATGCAATTTCTGTACATTATTAAGCGTTTCGTTAGTGTGAACAAGTGTATTAAACAAGTCATGAAACGATAACCATCTTCATAATGCCCACTATATGTTGGTAACTGTATTTTGGGTAACACTACACGAGTTTGTTGAGATTGAGATTCACTTGATATTAATAACGGAGCACTGTCACTAACTTGTTGGGATACTAACAAATCTTTGAGCTCAGTTTTCAAAGTAATGTATATTTCTTCATGGTCATAAAACTCCTCCTGCGCAATGTACGGTATTTGCTCTCTTTTTTCCCTCGATATGTTGCAAATAATTTGGTCGTAAGCTTCTTTATATTCGCACCAATAATCTTCTAAACATTTAAGGCGTGATTCGACGTAATTTCGTGTTAATCTTGCTTTTGGGCACTTTTTCAGGTTAATTTGTGTTTTCTTCATAGTGTGTGCAATGTTTTCCACTTTAATCAAAGCTTTTTCCACTTCCGTAGCCATTATTTATACAAAGTAGATATAAAATCTTTAATCTTAACAAAATAAAATGAAATGAATTTAAACTCAAACTCTTGCTAATGAATTTAAACTGCAACACTTGTTAACAAGTCGACCCTTTTTTTTTTCAAATCTTTGTTCTTGGGCAGCCCCTAAAGGAGCAGGTAAACGTCGCTGGATCCGGCTCGAATTTGGACCATATGTTGCTTTGAATAAGGTCGTCACTTGGTTAGGTATAGTGAAATAAAACTAAACACGTATGCTCTGTTCAACGTTCTATTGGACACTAAATGCATGCAAGGAATGTGAGCGTAATAAACAAAATACATTATTTAGTCAAACATGTTTTAACTACAGAGTCCCAATAAATATGCAGTACCTATCAAAAGTTTAAAGGTTTTCTTAAACGAGAATTGTTCAATCAACAATTCAATCAAGTCCTTCTAAATATACTATAAAATACTATAAAATCAAATACTACTAAAGAGAATTTGTTTGAAAATAATCACAGGGAATAAGGTGATGGCCACCACGCTATATTTATACGTGGTGGAGCCACGCTGCAGCTATATTATAGTTGTAGCACGAATGTGTCGGCTCCATCAGGAAAGCACCATGCCCTCACAAAATATCAGCGCTGAAACTTAACACTGCCGTGTTTCATTTGCTGAGTGTAGAGAACCGGAGACCCGTTTTCTGGATAGGAGACAGTCCATCTCATTCCGCAGGAGTGAAGACGCATCTGCATTTTGATTCGTAATTGAGAATAAATGTAGCTGTTTATGGACAACAGCATCAACTCACCGTCAAGCGGACTGTGTGCCACTTATTATGTAAAAAAGGCTATTACTAAAAATTTTGTAAATTAATGTTTCAAACTTAAAAAAATTAATGTTTAAAAAAGTCCCGCTAGGTTTCTTGCTGTTTTTTCCTAGAACAGTGGTTTTTTCCTTGAACCAGCAATATTTTAAATTGCTGATTCTTCCCCGGACAGAGGTTTTTGCAAACCAGTGGTAAATGAAAAAAGTGACTTTCAATAAGTATTGTTATAATCTACATTGAATAAAAAGGTTTCTGTTTCCGTTTCATGAGTTGCCTGTTCGTTTTGGTGGTGTATAAATGTTGCATGTAGTAGACATGTTTGTTTGCGTGCGCAGGTGCGCATGGCGGAGGCGTGGGGCGAGGAGGCGACGCAGCGCATGCTGGCGCTGGGCGGGGCGCTCGGCGCGCGCGCTCGCCAGCACGACGAGCGGCTCGCCGAGCTCGGCCGCCGCGTGGCCGCCGCGCCCGCCGGCCTCGCGCGCTCGCCGCTCAACATATAGCGCCGCAACACCCCCGCCCCCGCCCACCGCACGCAGGGCCGGATTCAATAACCAATCCATCACAACCCCCTAGAGGCCTGCATATAGTGCATTAAGCCGGTCCTGACTCTAGTCCGACCTTCACCCTTAGTGCATTGGTGACGTCACTAAATTATCCATCCCCTCGACTATCCGCGCGCAGCGCCGGATCCAAATAATCAAACCAATGTGATGGTTAGATAATTTGCACCGCTTGAGCCACGGGCTCTTACAATCCAGTTGGACGGGGGAGACTCCGATGTTCGAACTCCTACACGAGTAGGATGTGTGTCATCGATAATAATCTCTTTGACATATAATTATACAAACGTCTAGTTAATATTGAGAAATAATATTTATTTTTGAAAATATAATAAACGTTTACAATAAAAATGTTCTTTTTCTTTCATATGCTCACTCGTTTCATTTTACTTTAAAATAAAAATTGTTCTTAAATGGTTGCTGCGCCATGAATGAGCTTGTGGACTGCATTATTCGTACTTCTTCAGTCTTCACCGCCAAAGTATCTTGCTCAGAAAACAAAGGTATGATAAGTGAAGAAATTCGGATACCATTTTACTGTTAACTCTCGCAGGTTACATCGCTTATGCTCTTTAATCTTGTAATCTTAATCTTTCAGAATAGATGTAGATATCGACATAAACAAATAATAAGCGAACGCTGTGGCTAATATACATCTATCTTTATTTAAGAATTAAAATGCGGACGAGTTTTCACTCCTGAGGACTAAGATGGAATGTTTAATTTTCATAATAAAAAACATAAACACTCACGCCTGTCACCCAGAGGGGTAGCCAGAGACTACAGACTTCCATTTAGCACGATCCTGACATACCTTTCTCGCCTCTTCCACATCCATATACCTACGCATACATGCTCGTCGGTTAAGGGTACTCTTAATTTGGCCCATTTTTAGTATATCGCCAATTTGGTCGACAAACTTCCGCCTAGGACGTCCCTTTCCGACTCTTCCATTCACTTCTGCAACATATATTTGCTTTGTCAGTCTTTCCGCATTCATTCTTTCTACATGACCAAACTACCGAAGCATTCCTTTCTTAATCCTGGTCACCGCATCATCTTGCAAACCACACTCTTCTTTTATCACACAGTTTCTCACCCTGTCACTCAGATTCAGCCCTAACATACTCCTTAGCGACCGCATTTCTACTGCATTTATTCTACTCTCGTGCTTCTTCTGCCACACCCAAATTTCACTACCATACGTTACAGTAGGGACTAAAACAGCACTGTGAATTGCCATACGTGCCTTTTTTGACACATTCTGACTTTTCACAATAGAGTGTAGAGCCCCATTTACTTTATTTCCTGCATTCACTCGTCGTTCAATGTCCTTATCATATCTCCCATCCCTGCTGAATACACATCCCAAATATACGAACTCATCCACTTGCTCAATTAACTTTCCTTCTATTCTTATTTCACATACCGTTTTGCTTTCTTCTCTTTCAAAAACCATCACTTTCGTCTTACTTGCGTTCACTTTCATTCCCCTTTCTTTTAATGACCTGTTCATTAATGTAACCATCATTTGCAACTCGGCCGCCGACGACGCAAGTATGACTTGATCATCGGCGTACAAAAGGCATTTGATGGTTAACTCACCCATTCTTAACACGCATTCTTCAACTTTCAAATTTTCCAAACAGCTGTCCATAAATAGGTTGAACAGCCACGGGTAAGCTACACAGCCCTGTCTGACACCTTTATGGATGCCAAACCAGTCCGAGTAGACCCCGTTGATTCTAACACAAGCACTCGAGTCCCTATACAGAGACTTTAATGCCTGTATCAAACCATCCCTCAACCTAAATGCGTTCAGCGTTTGCCATAACACATCCCTGTCCACTCTGTCATAAGTCTTTTCCAAGTCCATGAACGCACAAAAAACTTTTTGGTTTTTCGCCAAAAACTTCTCCGCGATCATGCGCATGGAAAAGACTTGATCTGTACACCCCATTCCTTTTCTAAATCCCGCTTGTACATCCCAAATTTTTCAGTCTCTTTCATAACTCTTTCATTTAGTACCTTAGCATACAGTTTTCCCACAATGCTTAGAAGGCTGATACCACGGTAGTTTTTACAGGCCTGCTGTGACCCTTTTCCCTTATATATTGGGACTATCACGGCTTTGCACCAGTCTCCCGATACCCGCTTTAGTTCCCAACATAAATTAAACAAGGTGTACAGCAGGCCTGCCACCACGTCCTCTCCAGCCCTTAGCATTTTGAGTGAAACTATCATATCCGGCTGTCTTACCTACTTTCATGTTTTTCATTGCTTTCATTATTTCATCTATGCTTATCTCCCTATCTCTTTCATCTTCTTTCGGAATTTCTGTTTCATTTAGTTCACACTTCTCCTCACTCATAAATACGCTTTCAAAATATTCCTTCCATCTCTTTAGACTCAACACTTCATCATTCAGGATACAGCCATTCTCGTTTCGTATCGCATGCAATCTAGGCTGTTTTGAAAGTCCCCTGGTATTTCTTACGAGTTTCAAGAACATTTTGATATTTGCCTGGAAGTTATCCGATATTCTTCTATCATTCTTATCCGTTCTTTCTTGCTTTTTCCTTTCAACTAATTCTTTTACTCTCTTATTTAAACGTTTAAACTCTGCCTTTTTTCTTTCAATCTCATCATTCTTACCGCCAGAATTACCAGCTTTGGTCGCTAGTAAATCTAGCCATGCTCTCTTCTTTGCTTCAACTTCCATACGTACCTCATCATCCCACCATAACGTATTGTCTTTCCTTTCATTCGTTCTCTTACTAACACCACATACTTCGGTAGCTGCATCCACTAAACCTTTCTTAACATTATGCCACACATTCTCCAAGTCTAACACATTTACACACAACTCATCCAAATTACTTGTATTTTCTCTCAGTCTGCATTTGTACTTGTCTTTCACATCTTCATCTTGTAACCTCTCAATTCTTATACGCTGTAACGCAGTGGTAGACACAGATGTCCTATGCCGCCAACGTCTGAATAAACCCCTAATTCGGCATAAGACCAGGTAGTGGTCCGTCCCTACGTTGGACCCCCGGTAAACCCTTGTATCTACCACTGCGCTCCTCATTCTTTCATCCACAGTTATGAAATTTATCATACTTCTATCATCACCTCTTTCCCAAGTATACATGTGAATCTTCTTATGACGAAAGAAAGTGTTCATCACAAAAAGATTCCTTTCCACACATACGGTGAGGAGGCTTTCACCATTCTCATTTATACTTTCATCACCAAACGTTCCCAATGCCCTTTCATAACTAAGCCTCCTCACCCCAACCCTTCCATTAAAATCTCCTAGCATAATAATATTTTCATTTCCCTTACACTTCATTAACACCATCCTTACCATTTCCCAAAACTGCTCCCGGATATAAGTGGGCTTACACATGTCTGGGGCGTAGACCCCTAACACAAACAACTTCTTTAAGCCCTCTTTCATTCGTATCCATAGCAGTCTTGGGCTTACACATTCATACTCTTTCACACATTGGCCCATTCTTTCTGAAAGGATGATACCTACTCCCTGGCATGCCCGCTCGATCTCGTCTACACCAGACCAGTATGCGGTATACATGCCATGTGTAGTGACATCCTTCCCCTTCCTTTTTGTCTCATTTACACATAATACATCTATTCCTCTATCATACATCATATCGCATACTTCATCCATTTTATCATTCATTGCCCCACATACATTCAACGTAGCCAGACGGGCCTCTGCAATCCACTTTTTGCCTCTTTGGGAGACAGAACGTGACGGGTGGCGAACCGTCACGTTAATTTTCAGTAGTGTCTAAAGTTCTCTACACTCACCAAACAAAGTTATTACATTACGGTATGGTGGTATCACCATACTAAACTTAATGCCATTTGGGCATACAACATCCCCCGCCACCTTCCAAAGGGCTACCATTAATGACCCAAGTGTTTTGCAAGAAATTAATGGCCTGGTGTACCTCAGTGACGTTATTATCTTATCCGCCAGCCTCCAAGAACACATGGACAAACTTCGTATAATTCATGACCGACTTCGAAATCCTAACAATTAGACAAATTTCCAAAAGGGAGTTTTATATCTTTGACACGTCATTACTAAAAACGCACTGCGACCTAACAATGACAAAATTAATACAGAAAGAGACCCAAAAGTGTAAAAGGATAGCTTTTATTCTTTTGGATAGTTTGCAAAAATCACACAGCCCTTAAAGTAGTGCTTAAAAAGGAACACGGTAATTGTATAATGAAAATTATATAGATGATTTTCGGAATTGTAAAGAGATTGATGAGTTTTCCACTTTACCCAGTTCATATAAACCATACACATTGACAATAGACGCTTCTAACGAGCTCTTGGTGCAGTACTGTCACAGGGTCCAATACGGTCAGATAAACCTATTGCATATGCCAGTGTGTGACTGCACATATGCAAAGTCATAGGTGATAATCATGATATAGTATTATTTGCTGATGATACTTCATTAATTTTCAAATTAAAACGACAGTTATTAAATTACGACGAAGTAAATAATGCTATAGCTAAGTTTGTCAATTGGTTTAATGTTAATAATTTGCATTTACATGGTACTAAAAGTAAATGTATGAAATTGGTAACTCCTAATGTCAAACATGTTAATACGAAACTCTTCCCGCGCGCCGTCAAGTTGTGCAGACGCAGTTCATATCACTCCGCTTTAAAAATTACGAAAAAAAGTCTAGTGCACATTTTAACGTAAAAGTGAACCAATCCATTTATAGAAGTGTAAAGTGAACTGAAAAGTGCATTATGCTAAAAGTTATTATTATCAACTTTTCTTATCACTATTAACTAAAATACATTGTGTGGAATTTGGAACTAGCTACTGTGTTATCAACTGATTTGACTTTGACTTACCTACATTGATATTATTTTTTACAACGCATATGAAAATAAAAAAGCAGTACGAAACGTAAATATCAAGCGCCTAGTTGCTTATTGT